TATATGTATATATATATATGTACCTATAGGTTTACAAAGCAAGCTGTCTTTATTATCGAAAATTAACGATAAGTTGTGTAAATTCAAATAAATATATCTATTCCTGTTTGTACAAATATTTTTAGGAATATCGATTTTGGGCTAATGGTTAAGACTACTTTTCTTTCTAGATTTCTTACACTAATAGACTATTCTATTGTAATGCAGCGGCAGATTGTTGTATGCCATTTTACGGTCGCAGTGACGTTTTTATGAGTTTTAATCTGGGAATGGAACTTTGGCGGAAAGAGTTAGGTTGGATGCAAAAGGGATAGGGGGAGGTCTCCTCGTAGAAAATTGTAAAACTGAAGCACTAAAACTGGTTCAGCTTTATTCGTTGTTTGTCAGCTCTCTGCATCAGAAATTATAGTGAACTTGACGGTTTGTGTCGTGTCATGCAGCCGACAACAAATAACAGAAAGGAATTTTTCGGTCTACTCTTCATGGCTTTTCCTTACTACTTGAGGTAGCAAGTCAAGTCAGAAAGAATCATTCAGTACCAAGCATCTCTAAAATATTTTCATTAAATCCAACAGTGAGCAGAAAAGCAATCAATCAATCCAAATTTCTGCCCATTTCTGGTTATAAACCAAAATACCTACCTAGACGACAACGAATTTTGGAGGAAAAAGGAAATGAGAAGCGAAGCCATATGAGAATGTCCGAGGGCATGCCTCCTCAGGAAAAGTTTGTACTTTTCACTGAGCATAGTACATTATATTGTTACCCTAAGTTGTTTTATACCTTTTGAATCAGTTTTTACATGTGGTACCCTCCCTCCAGCATATGCTTATGACAGCGTATTATTTGTTGGATGTTGTGAACTTATTACTTCCCTGGATTAGTATATAAGTTAGGTGACCATGAGCAATACAGTTAGATGCAGAGATGTTCTCCCATCCTCTTTTAACACGATCATCATACAAGTGTTATACTTAAACATTTTTACAAAGGGGAATATTTCTTTTCTCATATGACGAGACCAAGGTTACAACAAAATTGTTAGTTTCATTGGAGAACTGTTGTTCGTGTCTGCTATAGCTTGTATTTACGAAACATAGCTTAAAATTAAATGATTTGTTTGCTTTAGGGCAAAGCTACATTGGGCTATCTGTTGTTTATACCGTGGGTAATCGAACCCTGGGTTTTAGCATTGTAAGTCCATAGACTTATTGCTGTCCCACCGGTGGACGAAAAATTGAATGAACCGGGCGTTTAAACGCAGTAGTAGAATCCTTATAGTGAGAAAAAAGACAGTGCGGTTACGAGTTTTGTCCAAGAATCTTGTTATGTGAACAAATTCTATTGCATTTAATAAGCTATAAGTAGTGAACATTGTAACAACTTGTTCGGAATATTCGTATTTAGGAATGGAATGTTTTATAATATCAAAATTAAAAGTACCCATTTTGTAGAAAATTATAGATTTGAATGTTCGATTATCTATGCTAGTATCTAAATCTAAGTTGTGTCCTCTGTTTGTGGTAAAAAAAAAAAGCTTTTTTCCAGAGTGAGTTCTGGTGGAAATATGTGATTGGCAGTGTTAAGAAAACTTTGATATTTCGGTAAAATTATACCATTAGAATATCTACAGGCGCGATGCAATGAGCAATTCTAAACCTTTGTTCTGGCATTTTTTACTAAAATCTGTTATTTATATAAATTGAAGATCGAATACACACAAGTCTTCAATTTGTGGACTGAAGTTACTTACTTCCCAATAGGCATTTCCTGTATTTGTTGAAAGACACGTTGGTCTAATTGCACAAATGTGTTGTCTAGAAAAACTACATAGCTTATAAGCTAACACTATGCTATCTACACTCTGTCACCGGGGAGAATCGAATCCC